GCTATTGTTATTCCTGATTGTACTACTTTAGCCAAGGTGACATAATTGTTCTAATTAGTTGTTTTCTCTGGTAAGACTGACACTGCCTAACAGTTAGAAAAAGATACTATAGGCCAGAACCAAAAATAAAGCAAGGGCTAGACCAAACAGGCAGCAACATCTCATCCCAATAAATTGAAAAGGTAGATCTTGCCACAGACACAAAAACCTAATGCCAGCTACACCTGGAAGACATCTTTAAGAAGTAATCACTTCCTAAGGGTTCTAAACAGCACTAAAACTATTCACCATATGCAATTCACAAACATCAACCTAGGAATTAAATTTTTAAAAATTTGCATTTCTTGAATGACCAGTAATATTAAACCTTTTACATATATTTATATGCTGTTTGTACTTCTTTTTCAGAGAAGTGTCTATTCATCTCAGATACCCATTTTTGCATTGGGTTTTGAATTTTGAAAGTCTGATTTTTTTCATTACTTAATATGTTCTATATATTAGTCTTATGTCCAAAGAAGAGCTGGCATAAATTTTTCCCACTCTGTAGGTGGTCCTTTCACTCTGTTGGTAATTTCTATTGATATACAAAGCTCTTTAATAAGATGAGATCCCAGTTATTGATGCTTTGTGATAATAACTGTGCAATCAGGGTTTTGTTCATAAAATCTTTGCCTACACCTATGTCTTCCAGAGTTCTATCTATTCTATCTTCCTGCAGATTTAGTGTTTCTGTTTTAATATTTAGATCTTTGATACATTTTGGTTTTGGTTTAGTGCATGGTAATAGACGTGGGTCTAATAGTAATCTTCAGCATTTGGAAAGCCAGTTTTTCAAACACCACTTATTAAAGAGGCTATCCTTCTTTCAGTGAATGTGTTTGACCCCTATATTGAAGACCAGGTGGTTAAAACAATACTGAGATTACATCTTACTCTAGAAAAAAATGGTTACCATCAAGAAAATAACTAATAACAAATGCTGGTGGGGCTGTGGGTAAAAAAGTAACATTTCTCCACTGTTGGTGGGAATGTAGGCCGGTGCAAGCACTGCAGAAATCACTATGGAGATTCCTCAAGAAGCTAAAACAAGAGGTTCCATTTGACCCAGGTATTTGCCTTTTTGTATTTCCCTGAAAGAATTAAAAGCATCATACCACAGTAACATATGCACATTCATGTTTATAGCGGCACAGTTTGTAATAGCTAAAACTTGGAAACAGCCCAAATACTCATTACATGATGAACGGAGAAAGATGTTTTTTTTTAAATGATGGAGTATTACTTGGTAATAAGTAGGATAAACTCGAGACATCTCCAGCTAAATGGATGGAGCTTAGACCATAGTCTTCAGTGAATAAATCAGACACATGCAGTCAAATATCACATGGTTTCTCTGGGGTGAGAAACTAAAAATGTAAGTAAGAACAAAAACGTGTAATACATATGGGAAATGGGAAGAAAATGTTCAAATGGGAAGAGGAACAAGGAAGGTGGGAGAACAAAGGAAAGAAGGAATAGGGAAGGAAAATGGAAACAAAGATTTTGTAAATAAGTAAGGGAAGAGGTGTTGAGGGGAGGGGAAGGCAATGGGAAAAAGGATAAGGCAAGATATATCTTGTACAGATACAAATTTCCTAAGATGAATGTTATCATTATATGCATCTAAAATGTACCAATAAAATAAAACAATTAAAAATGGATAACATACATGTATGGGATTTTACAAAAGAGAATACAGCACTAATACCCTGTGAATCAATGTTAAATCTCAGTAGTTATCAAAGATGAAAAATAAGACCAAAATTGAATGTTATTTTGCACTCATTTGTATTTCAAAAATAAGTCTGATTATAAAAAGTGTGGTAGAGAATATATAAACAGATGTTCACTTAGGCATTGATGGTTGGTATTTAATTAGTACAATTCCCTTTAAAAATTTTAACATCATCTAGTAAAGCCGAACACTGACATACTCCATGTTCTATGTATTTTGATTCTAAGCACTGTCAAGAAAGTGTCCTGAGTACACCAGGAAATATGGATGGGAATATTTATACCAACATTATTTATAACAAAAGACCTGAGAACAATGTAAAAATGCAAGAAGAGTAAAGATATAAATCTGGGCATATTAATATAATGGAAATTTACACAGGACTCAAAACGCTCAAACTTTTGCTATATAAAATAATACGGATAGTTTAACATCAGAGTACTGAGTTAAAATTCTATAAACACCAAAATACCTTTTTTATATAATATAAACAATTAGTATACTATTTAAAGGAAGTTATATAGATATTTTCAACTCATATTACAGGACAGTAAGGTTTTTAACCAGTTTTTTAACAGACAGTAAGTTTTTTAACCTCTCTTAAACCAGAGAGATTAATCTGACTTACTCTGGTGAAACCAATGTAATCACAAGGCTTTTTAAAACGTGGAAAGCTCAGTGTTAATGAGATGTAATCCGTGAAAGACTTGACCAACATCATTAGATATGAATACAAAGGAGGTCATGAGGCAAGAAATGGAAAGCTTCTAGAAGCTGGAGCAGGCATGGAAGGAGGTTTTCACAAGAACTTCCAAAAAGGATCCTGGTCATGCCATCACCCTGAGTTTAGACTACTCGTACTGTTCTTCTGAACTGTAAGACAATTTATTTTGTCTTAAGCTGTTAAACACTTATATGTACACACACACACACACACACACACGCACACATACGCACACACATGCCCCTATAGAAGTGCGTTTGTGTGTATCACATAGTGATAGATGCCATTAAAAAAATCAGCCTAAGGTCAGAGAGTAGCAGATGGGGATATTTTACATGGGATAGTCAGAGCTGAGGTAATGTTTAAAGAGGTCTAAATGAGACAAAGGTATGTGATTTCCACAAGAAGAACATTTCAGAAAACAAATGTGAGGTGCAAAGTTCCCATAGACAGATGTGAATTTAATATGTCCGCGGAACAGACAAAAGGCCAATGTAGCTGGAGGGAAGGGACGCAGAAGGAAAACGACGGGAGGTGTTATTGGTGGTTATCTCTGGGGTCTTTTATGCTGGAAGGGGAGTAGGAACACTGGCAGAAAGGGAGACTGTTTGCTTTTTTCCTGTTATGTGTGTTTTGGAGTGACAGCACATTGCCTTTGTGCTGTTGACAAATTCTTATTACAACACAGAGGTATGAGCAATCTGAAGAGTAGAGATGACAGTGTCAAAAAATGCTGCCGTTGTTCTTTTTTTTCCTACTACTCTCTCTAAAATAAAAAAAAAAAAATGATGTATCTATTGAGAGGTTCCCTGGAGCAAAGCTGGTTCAATATGAAAACTGAGAGGAAGGGGCCAGAAAGAATCAAAGTATGGCATTTAATATGTCCACTCTCTGTTTCACTTTTATACTCTTCGAACTGTTGAGTCTGTACATGAAAGTCAGTAACAATATGTGGGTTTAAATGTTCACATGCAAAACAATTGTAAGAATCTCATAGATGCTACATACTGAGAAACTGAATTTTTAAAAGTATGGAATAAAGAGGATCCCTGAAGAGTCTTTATAAATCCTCGCTTATCATGATATGTTAAAAATGCTAATGTTATAAAAACTCATCGTTACTTTAGCAACATGCAATAGAGTTTCATGGGTTAGACTCTTTCCCTTCAGACCTTGTTTCACTATTTACCAGCTTTGAGATCGGTGGGAAATCATTTACTTGTACATACCTAGGCTTTTTTCATCTGTAAAACTAAAATAATCATGTCTGGTTGACAGAATTATAAGGACTAAATCTATGAACAGAATACGGAATTAGAGCAATGTGTGGCATAATAGTAAGTACTCAATAAGTTCCAGCTACTGTTACTGTCTCTCTTTTCCTTTTTGTACTCCAGGCAATGTATTGATTCCCAATTCCCAGCCTCTTACTCCAAACGAGGTAAGAAGTATCTGAAAGAATCACATTTGCCACCAAATTTGTTTCTCTCCCATACACTTGAAAATGAAATCATTGCAATAGTCACCCTAGAAAATAATATAGAATTCCATTCCATTAATCAACACCTTTTTCTATGACTACATTTGATTTAAAATTATTCAAATATTTCTTCAGAAACTCTGAAATTTAAAAGGAAACTTATACATTACACGATTGGAATTATGATCTCCGTGGTCTTTATTCAGCTGGGTAAAACTCCACCTTCAACAAAGTGAAAAAAAACTAAAAAATCACTAAAAGATGGCTCTGGTTGATTTTTGAATTCTTTGAGATTTTCTTTATATGGTGTACAGGGTTTATCCTGGGTTTAAGCGAATTCAAATTACAAAGTTGACCACTTCAGGCAAACTTTTCTGCTTCCCAGAGTCTTGGTTTTTTCCTTCTGCTCTGTGTTTACCAAGTATTTTTCCTTTTGATGAAAGTGCCAATATCATATAATGCCCACAGTTTTGTGACAAAAGGAAAATGCATGATTATTTTTGCCAATTTGGAATTGAACAAATTAAATAAGTAGTCTACATCAAGAAATATCTCTCTGGGCCAGATCTTTTAATCATTGCATAGTTTTTAAAATTAGCAGTGCATACTTGCTCCACTACTTAGGTTGTAAGAATTTAAAAAATGGTGCTGTCTAAGAAAAGAATATTTAAACGGGTCAAGATCGGAAAGTGATTCACAAAACATTAATCTCCTAAGTTTATAGGTTACTTCTAGTATATTTTTTATGTTATACATTACACAACAATTCCTTTTAGTTTAATCACATTCTCAAATTTCCATATTAATGAACAGGCATCTGAAATATCACCAAAGACCTTAATCATATTTAAAGGCATTTAAATAAGTATATAGGTCATTTTGTTAGTAGTTGAATGTATGCTTCAATTGAAAAAATCTAATATGAAAAGTACTGTTCTTTTTAAAAATTGGCTTTCTTTTCTATAAATAAAAATTCCTTACTCTCTTGCTTTAGTTTGGGTCTATGACACTCATCCCACCTTGAATCCATCGCAGCATCTAGTTTTCTTTTTCCTTGAAGAATCTGTCTCTGCTGTTTTATTTATATGCTCAAATTGATCCATGTTTAAACCATAGATATTATGTGATTATGTTCAACTGTTGTTGATTTTTGGTTAGGAACCACCACCTATGTAGGGTTAAAATGGATAATTCATTTCAATTTAACAATATATAATTTAGAAATAATAAAACCAATAAGTCAACATGAAGCTCAGTCAATCACAAATATCCCTTCAGACTCTACTAGGTTTCTGACAGTGAACTGAGAAAATACTGGACAAAAAACAGAAAAGAAAACCACACAAGTTCTAGCTTTAGGGAGATTATAATTTAGCTAGTCAGATTAAAACTGTGGAGAGAAATTAAAAATTACAAGTTGATAATACAGAATGAGGTTACAGAAATTAAAAAATTTAATTTCAGATTTTAATTTTTACATTGCTTTTGCCTCATTTTCAGGTTTGATAATATCAGCATAGGTTGTCCACATTCCACACTTTCTATTTTCCTATGGCCCTTTAAGTACATGTTAGAGAACTTTAGTATAGTTTTTTCTGAAGGTATTTTTTCTGAGTTCAAAATGACATGTAGAAGTGAATATTTGGTACACAGTATTTAAGAGAAGACCCACGTTATTGGGAGGTAGCCTGGTAATTTTTCCCTGAAGAAAAAAGCTCAATATTTCCCTGGGGAGTGGGGTTCTGGATGAGAATCTCAGCAATCTCTTGACCTGATTTTTTTTCTCATTTAATTGGAGAAAAAGTGATCTGAAAAATATTTTTCTTTCCTCTCACACTGAGTCAAACTTTGTGTGGAAAAAGGAAAGTAGGGGTTTTTAAGCGATTTTGAAACATATTATAATTTTCTATATTTACCTACTAACTTTCATGCTCCCTTATGCAGTTAGGATGAAATAAGTAGTCTACTCTGATAATTCTATGTGTGCAGCAGGTTTAAACCACTGCACAGTACCACACTGTAAGAAGGTAGCTACAAGTCTACTTTCTCAAGCTAGTCTGGAAAGTAATAGAAAAATAATTTAAGGCTTTATTTTTACAGTATAAAATATAATTTGCTATAATTTTAGATTAAATAAACCTGAGGCACATCTATTAGCAGAATGAAAATTTAATACATCCCAGGGCTTAGAAAATAAGTATACAAAAGACACAGAACATAAACTTTGGAATATGTATCATGAGCACTAATCACATTTTCTTGGCAACCTAAGAAATTCCTGTGCAGAAGAAATATTGAAATGAGAGAATCTAAGATGTTCTTACCTGAATTTAGAATCCTAGATCAATTGCAGTAAGTCTAACCTTTATTCTTTGTGAAAGTCCTTTTCCAAATATTTACTTGGTTTTTTAAAAAAATCAGTCCAATGATGATTAACCATCATGCTAGTTCTAGACAAATAAAATTTATCTTTTTCTTGTTTACAACACATTCAAATAAGTTAAAGGTTGCAGTAGAAATTGCTCAGAATTTGTACATTTTTATTAATGTTAGTCTTGAAAGTTTTATTTCTGGAGATGACTTGCATTTGTTTATTCAGTTGAGTTGGTGACTTTTTCTTTTACTTTTTTTATGCTTTGAGAACCCTTTATTGCCTCAAAAAATAGTATCACAAACAGAAAATAGAACTTACGTTTTGAAAATAAAGCCACGGATTCAGTGAAACTGCTGTTAATATATTCTGAGGGGCTAAAGAATAAACATCTGTCTCCTGTCGAAAAGTAAGTCACTTTTTCTATAGACATATTACTACAATGTATTTTCCAAAGTTTTAAAAACTCTTCCAAATAGAAAAAGAATTCAAGGAAATGTTTAAAGAGAAGAGAAAGTAGAGACTGTTGCTTACTGCCTGGGTAAGGTTTCAGTATGTTGCAGAAGACACTGCATATCCCACATGGACTAAAAACTGCCCGACAGTTACAGCTGGGTCTGCTAAATGACAACACACACTCTGCGTGATAGATTCCTTATTTCAAACCTGAGAGAAGACTAGCCAGAGTTTCCTTCCATCAAATAGGACATAGGTTTTTAAAATGTAAGAGTTTTTGCCTAGTTTTAAGTTTTTCTGTTTTTTAAAGTAGGAATGAAGTTTAGTTCAATAATTCAAACATTTTCAATTTTCCCAAATACCTCTGACATGGGACTTTGTTTGGGAATTGTAATGCTGTATGTCTGAGTGGGTGGGTGGGTGTGTATCTTAGCACTTTTGTAGAATAAATGTTGTCACAGTGATGATAATCTATGTTTGGGTTGATAGATGAGCTCCATTCATTGTTAGTGTTAGAAATAGTGTGAATTAGAGAAGAATCAAATACTATGGAGGAAAAGATAGATTAAGAATGGTAAAGGGCAGAGAAATACTCATATCATGTACGGAGCTAGGAAAATTGGGACAAAATAATCTTCCACAGAATCAGAACTTCCTGTAGGGGGGTATCTTTATCAAAAGAGTGGTCTAACCCTACCCTCTGAAGATTCTGATTTAGTAGGCTAGAGTTACATCTTATTATAAGCACTTCTATGATTTTTTGTACTTCACATGATTTTGAGAACCATCATAGCAGAACTACAAAATATTTTCCATGACTTTTATGAGCTTTCATTCAGAGTGAAAAGAGAGTGTGGTTGTTCTCATGCAAGGTGTCTCTACAAGTATTCATTCCATCTAGGGAGTATCTACTTGTTTTAAATAACAATGTGCACAGAATAAATTTAAAACAATATAAATTAAGTGAAAACCTTTATAATCCCTAAAGTTATTAGTGACTATAAATTCTAAGTTTTCAGATACCAAGGAGCATATCCCTCATGTTGCTGTCCTACTAACTTCTTAAGTAATTAAACTGCTCCTCTTGTGTGATTTGTGGAAGATTAAGAGTGGTCCGACAAAAGGCATTGCATAACGTCCATGGATCAAGTGAATTGCAAAATTTGCTTTAAAGTCTATTAATATTTACTTCAGACACATTCCTCACAGTTCTGTTGAAATACCACAGCTTTTGAAGTCTTATCAGCTTTAATGCCAATTAGTCTCTGCTATCTGCCAGTGGTATGAACTTGGTGTATTAACCTTTCTGAACTTTAACATCAACATTTTTAAAGTTAGATCCCAATATCTGAGAGAAAGTGTATTGTTTATTTAATGTGCTTTGCATAGTATCTGGCACATTATACATTCATTATATAATTATATTCATTATATAACAGTTGTGTATTAAAATGAGCAGTTAACGCACTTTAGCTGAAAAATGAAACTTCTGAACTATGTGCTTGAGCAGTTTTTCTGTGTAGTCTGTTCTGGAGTTTTCAGGTGGGTACCTCTGGCATGTCTCAGGGGTAGAACTTTAAGGTCACAGAAAACCTGCCATTGCCTCCCACCATACCTCACTTAGCCATAGCTGAGAGGAGCGCCAGAAAGCTACACCCTCCTGGACAGAACTCCCATGTCTCTTCCTCAGAGCTTCCCTCACTACAGCTAAGCTCACTGTGGTAATTATCTGTTAGTCACATCGAAGGAGTGCCTGATCACTAATCATGTTTATCTAACTCCCACAGTTTCAGTTTTGTCTCTCGGCTCCTTTACAAATAGTAAAATTCCATTTGTCTTCAGGCTCTCTCAGGATTTTTGGAACCCCTTCTTGCTCTGACTTAACTAGATTGTACCCTGTGAAAACTGCCTGTTTTACAGTGTGATAAAGGTAAACTGCCCTATTCTTTCCAATTACACTAAACTGGAAGAATACTTTTCAATTTGCCTCACTTTGCTTCTTCCTTTTTCTGGTTTACAGTCTTTCCCCTGAAAATCACGTTTTGAATCTCATACTAACATTCCATCACTTATCCATTTTTATTGTAATCATCTAGTAACTCTGCAGTCCATCCCCTTTACCTAAAGACAACTTAAACTCTTGCTTTGAAGACAGTCCCTTGAAACACTACTCCTACAATATTTTTCCTAGCTTTTACTTTTTATTAGTACATGTTTGTAGTACATAACTATTAAAGTCCCAGTAGAGAGCCTGTATGTGTTCATTATAAAACTTATCCTTTGTCTTCCACTTTCCTTCCCCTCTACCTCCAGTTATTTATTTTGTTCTCATTTGAGAAAGATCTGTCTCTGTAGTCCCTATTATGCATCATTTATTTTGTTCTTTACTTATATTTTAGGTTTCTCATATAAGACAAACCATGTGATACTTAAACTGTGTGTCTGCTTTATTTTACTTAACTTTCTGGTTTCAAGAGACATCCATTTCCTTAAAAAGAATACTTAAGTTTATCCTGCTTGATGGCAGAGTGGTACTTCATTGCGTGAAGATACCATATCTTCTTTATCCACTTATCTATTGGTGGACATGTAAGACACTTCCACAACTTAGCTTTTACAAATTTTACTCCTAGAAACACAGGTATGCATGTGTCTCTGGAATATGTTGTCTTTAACACATCTGAGAAGATACTCACAAGAGGAGTAGCTGGGTTGAATGGAACTTCTAGTTTTAGTTTTTTTGAGGAATCTCTATACTGGTTTTCAGAGTGGTTGTACCAGTTTACATACTGACCAACAATGTAGAAGTGTTGCTTAGCCTATTTTCACCCCTGACCACTGGCAGCTTCACCACCATTTTTTTGCTATTTGATTTCCTGGTGATAGTCATTCTTTCCAGGTTAAGATGGAAATCAGACTTTTGGAGAAATTAGTATTACTGTGGCATTGCTTTACACATCTTGTGGTATAATTTTCTTCCGGATGTTCAAGACCAAGTTAAAGTGAGACCTGTATTAATTAAAACTAAATTTTTGCTATCAATTTCAGTTAAATCTCCTCAGAATTTTTCTTGGAAACATGTACAGTACATCTTAGATCTTCTGTCAGTGTCAGCCATCTGGATGAGTAACAGACATTGCTTGACCAAGTTATTTTTTGTGAAAGCTTGGGAGACTATTTTTTTTTCTGGTGACTCTCCTTAGGCACACTATATATCATAGAATCACTTTTCTCTGTGGTCCCACAATCTCCTTACTCAGAAGATCACAGACTCAACTGATATACAGGATGTCACAAGAGAGGTTTTTATATTCTGGGTCCTCATTGACCTTGGACGGCTAAAGCCAAAATATTGGCTACCCTCTTAGCACATCTATCTTTTAAATTCTTGGTCTCTAAACTTCAGTTGTTGAACACCCATAAGGAAAGATTGACATTACATTGTAGTGGGAGCAGTGAACTTAATTTTTAAAACTTTATTTGAGTATTAAGTGCCTTGAAATCCAAAGTATAGTCAGAGAACTGTTACTTCTTACTAATTGTGGATGTTCTAGTAGTTGAATCCCCATGTTAACAGACAACAGTTACATAGTTTTACAGAGAAAATTTGAAATCAAAAGTCATATATAATATTATAGCATACCTATCATGATAACCTAGGAAAATAAACTCTATATTTAACACATTAAATTTGAACAATGAGCAACTCTTGAGTCATAATATATAAACAGCAATATGTATCACATGTATAAAACCAATATTGACATCATTTTGACCACCCGGCAACTTTGGTGGAAGCATGTCTTTCATTTAGATAACATGTATCTATAAACCAAATTAGATTACACACAATTGTTTCAAAAATCAAAAAATACAAAAGGAAGGAAAATTTTTTGAGCTCAAATAAAAGAGCTGTTTATAAATTGGACAGAGAGACAGAGAAAGACACATGCATAAGACACCTTTTATCTATAATTAATACTTTTTTGTACTTTATTTTGTCTTAAAAATACCAGCAACTTTTGTGTCCCTTTCTTTCATGTAATGTTTAGCTTAGTCATCTCCATACACTCTGTCACATACTCAAACCCTTTTTCTCCCAGCAGTGTTCTTGGGGTGTCTCTCTGTGAGACTTACACTCTATCACATGCTTTGACCCTCTTTTTTCTTTCAATGGTGTTTTTTACCTTTTTTATTTTTAGCACTTGAGGAATCCTTGTGTAAGACTTAACACACCAAACATATATCTAAAGAAATTATAGAGGTCTCAGGGTTTCCCGGAAGGAGGGCTTCCGGCACACAGGGAGCTGCAGGTGGGGAGCACCAGCCTTCTGGCTGGCTAGCTTCCTGCCTGCTGGCTCCCGGAGGGCGGGCCCCCTGTGCACAGGGAGCCTCGGGTGGGGAGCGCTGGTCTTTCGGGGTCTTCGGACCGGCGACTCATTCCCGACCTCTTCGTTCCCCGGACAGAGGACTTCCGGCGCACAGGGAGCCTCTGGCTAGCTTCCTGCCTGCTGGCTCCCTGAGGGTGGGCCCCTAGTGC